CGTTTTGTACATAATTTATAATATTCGTCTTTGCTTACCTTTTTGTTGTTAGAGATGTGCGTTCTTTTTAGTGTTGTGAGACGGTGATAATTATCGGTATTCATTTTGGAAAACTGTTGGGACATTGAGGGTACTCCGGCCTGGAAAATTCCAGAGCTAGTCGGTGTCCAGGGCAAAGTAAAACAGTTCCGTAACATTTGTAATGAACACGATTGTCTAAGTAACTTGCCGACTAGGTTCAGGGATGGGGTGGGTTGTTTAACTCTCGATCGCAGCCGTTACATGACCAATATGTAGACAGAGTAAAGGGAAAAAAGGAATGGAGACTTGGGTCAGAAGTGAAAGAACTCCGAATTTGGGAAGAATTAGGTGTAATTGATCTTTCTTTCGATACGCGCCCTCCGGGAAATCTGTACTATTGGCTAGATTTCCCCTTATGTCAAAACCGTTCTCTCTCAGGTATCCATCATTATTTTAACTGAACATGATGGAACTCAAAGGTGCAAACCTCATTTAATTTTCATTTCGGAGGCATAGTCTTATCGTTTAGCAATACATTGTTATAATTTGGACTAAACAGACTTCAGCAGACGAGCGTCTAGTGTTGGGACAGATGAGGAACAATAGCGCAGTAAAGTTTTTGGCACGGAGTACACCGGTGGGTAATCGGTTCCATCTCCCCCGACTTGAATTTGAAAGGGAAAGGAAAGAGAAAGGATAAGGAAAGGGGAATAAATAATAGGGATTAATAATTGTGAATTTGGGAGGATTAGCGAGTAATATTTGCATAATTATTTAACCATAGTTGAGGGTTGAATTTTGGCAGGTGGACAGTCGTACGTGTGTGTGTCTGAGAAGTCTCAGGTTCATTTGTCCGAAGTGCCTCGAGTTGCTGCTGCAGATCTCAGACTTGAGCAGTTCAGTGAGGACTGGAATCCGGCATGATGAATGGAAAATCGAAGGGATCGCTTTCTTCGTCGAAATTTAGCAGCCTACCTTTTAAATATCGCAAATCATATTGGCGTCTGTTCATTAAGTGCTCAAATTCTTTTTTGTGAACATGTGTATGTCAATTTCGTACAATAAGTAACTTTTATTATGATTTTACTTTCCGGGGTCACAACTATGGCGAAGTCCATTTGCCATTAAAGTTTATTGAGGTTAAGAAATACAAAATTAATATTATTAATTCACGTGTGTCGCTCGCTGATTCTTGCCGAAAAGTCAATCGAGTGCTGCCACGCCGTTCTTTTTAGTCAGCTGGCAACCTTTGGTTGGCTTTGCTGCCATATTAGGTTGCTTCATATCTGAGTCAGTGGCGCCATCTATAAGTCGCTGTGGGAACTAGGGTGGGGGATAAAGAAAGTCGGAGGAGAGTAACAGGGTGAAATGTCAACCTCATTATGGAGCATTGTCTCTCCTCTCCGAGCCCTCAACAAGGGTTGGCGCCAAAATCGGGTGTCTATAGCGGCCATTCCCTTTCTACATCTTCTAAGGAGCAGTTGTGCGTGTCTTCAAGATTTTCTAAAGCTTAAGAAGTCCAAGGTGCAGATCCGTTTGAGCCGATCGCATAGCTGCCGAAAGTCTCGAGGAGATCGGGAATCCTTTAAATTGGTGCACCAGCACTGAGTTCATTAGGGCAAAGAAGAGCGTTAGCGTGATGAAGAATTTTTACCGAAATAATATTTTTCTACTGGGCTTGGCGCTTATGTAAGATACTAGTTCGCCGGTAGGACATGCCTGGCAGCCTGAACTGTGGAGGCCAAATTCAAAGAACCTTTGGAGCCCGTGGCGCAGACCATTGGAAGCAGCGATCGTCGGCAAGATATTTATTTTTGGGTCTTCATTTTCGATATAAAGTCAAAATGTGAGGTAGATGAGCAAAACCTCAGTAGTTCAACCTGAGTTCCACTCAAGAGGCCAACCCTCAAACCCCAGTCTTTGAACGAACAGTCGCTTGACAACCGCGTTTGAAGGCGCCTTCCCCGCTGGCAGTCCCGGGATGAAATTCGAAGTTTTAGCGAATGTGCTAATGGCCAGAACTTACCTAAGTGCTTGTCTCTTCTTTCTCTCCCACACCCAACCTCTCCAAAGTGGAATCACAAAAATTGAAAAAAAAGCATAAGGTTAAGGTTGTCTCTGCCACAAAAGAACCGAGGAGACTGTGATTTCACTTTCCTCAATTTTCCTCAATTTTCAGCACTGAGTTCATCCCAGAATACGCTTTCGACGATGGATCCGCATGGGAAGGGTGAATGGATAATTCTCCTAGAATGATTTATTTTTAATAATTATACCCGTTGCTCGTAATGTAAAAGGGTATACTAGATTCGTCGAGAAGAATGTAACAGGTAGAAGGAAGCTTTTCCGACCCCACAAAGCATATATATTCTTGATCACGATCACTAGCCGAGTCGATCTAGCCATGTCCGTCTGTCCGTATGAACGCTGTGATCTCGGAAACTGTAAAAGATGCAATACTGGGATTAGGCATGCAGGTTTTAGAGATTCCTGCGCAGCGCAAGTTTGTAACGCGAATATGCCACGCCCAATCTAACGCTCATAAGCCTGCTAGAAACAAATTTTAACTGAAATGTATAGGTCTCGTCAATACCTATCGATTGCCCCAAAAAAAGTTTGCCTCGCCCACTTTAACGCCCACAAACCGTCCAGAAACCGCCCAAAACTGTGGCGCTGAGTAACGGGTATCTGATAGTCGAGGCACTTGACTATACCGTTTTCTCTTGTTTTGAATATGCATACGTCCATAAAGAATAGGCTACAAAAGTGAAAGTCCTATTGGAAAAATAAAAAGTCAAGTGTAAGCTCGATCGAACATCTTCGAGCGGCCATTTTTACTTAAGTTCGATTGGATATTCGTTTGCATTTTGTACAGCTCGTTTGATTTAACATCCATCTAATGTACTTATAAGTTTTTGCGTGGCTCCACTTTTAAATCCGCTTCGTATGATACAGATAATACACTCTAATTCTCAATTTATGTTTTTTCTCGTCTTTTCTATTTGTATACTTTTCAAAATTAGTTAGTTACTTTTATTCCTTTTAATTATATTTTACTTAATCGAGATGATTCTTAGTTTCCATTGTGTTAAGTCAAGTTTTAATCCTTACCATAGTTAAGAAAATATTAAAATGTTCTATAAAGAACCCTTTTTGACCCAGGCTAACATGTCCCTCTAAGACCCATGGACGATGGGGCTGCTATGGTCACCATGCGTTTTAGGGATTTACCAGCCATAAGTAGGGAGGGCAAATCAGGCCTCGAACATCTGAGGTCTAGGAGGTTCAGGGATATTATCCGATGCAACAATTAGGTTTTTACCTAACTTTAGTAATAGCTAATAACTAGTAATGACTTTTTTTCGTAATAATGAGTATAGACCCCTTGGGGGGCGTGGCAAGAACAACACCCTAATTGCTGGCGAGCGAGAGTCGGAACATTTTTTGTATTGCCTACGGCACCTCTCCCAAATCCAACATCTCGCCTGGATCTTGACATTCGTAGCTTTTACTACCGTCAATATTTAAGCATTATTGTTATACATGGCGCCTAACTCCAGGACGACGTAATGTAACGTAGCACACAATCACAATTCCTAATTTTTAGCCAGATTTCCTTTCAAAACTCATTTTACCTTAGGAAAAATCAAGAAGACATAGCTTGATTTAGCCACGACTGTAGATTGATCTCGGACCACCTTCTAACATCGTTCGAAGTTCGATCAGGAGAGAGAAATGGAAAATAGAGCACGATTCTCTTTGCGTATGCACATTTTTTCTAGAATATTAACTGTACTTTTTTGAATTCCCTTTTGTGTCTCAAACATCGAATCAGCTCATGTATATACATACAAACATGTCGGTTGACCGCATGCATTTTTTAGTCTTAGGAATCCTTCTCAACAAGCCACTGGAGTGGAAAACATCCTTTTTTGTAAAGCTCAACAAAATCAGGAATTACAGTGATTTATAACGTTTTGATCGGAGCTCTTCATATTTGGTTGGACGAGTCGGCACATTTGCCCCGATCATAAAGCCCTCTGCCGCTACGGATGGCAATTCACCATGGCCGCATCACAAATCTTTTACGCAGTCTTGGGTTCGTTATGGTACGCAGCCGAGAGCCAGCACATTTTGGTGCCTCCTGTGAGGGACTTTGTCATCGAATTGGACTGTTGCGAGTTTACGTTGGAGTCAAGTTCAGTGGTATATCCTAAATACGGACCTCAGGTTAATGCAATTTTATTATATTCGTGTGTAATAAAGGTTAAGCAAAATGGCGGAGCAGCTTAAAGCAGAGCAGGTGGCGTTGCTGGAGGCAGTAAAATCAAAGCTACAAAATTTTAATAAAGATGTTACTGCACGCTCTGCAACGCACCTGGAGACCAGGTTGGACTCCCTTCAAACTATGCATGCGGAATATCGTGAAAATCGTCGTGTATTAATTCAAACAATCAACAATGATAAAATTAAGGCAGATTATATTGTCAAAAATATAACGGAACTGTTTGAGGAAGTCTATATAGATTTGATGGCTGACATCAAGACCAAAGTGCAAGGTAAAATTTTAGATTCTACAATGATGGGTGGTGAAGGGAGTTTAAATATCACAGTTGCTGATGTCAAGCTGCCTACTGTTAAATTGCCTATTTTTACTAGCCCTTATTTAAAGAAGTTTCCCATCTAGAGTCCATAATTGGGAAAAATTAACAAATTTACATCGGTTTCATTATATATTCCCTTTCAGAAGAAGCCCCCAAAGACATACAACATTTGACTTTGGTGAAATCAAATTACGCAACTGTATGGAAAATGTTAGTAAATCTGTACGACAACGAGCAAGTCTTATTTCAGCATTATATGGATATGTTTGACCATCAGGCTGTAGTTCAGCAAGGTGACTACTGTGTTAATAATTTGAAGAAGGTTGGCGTAGACGTCAACGGGAAAATTATGGAGTGCTGCTGCCAACAGCAGTAGTTACGGTGGACTCTGCTGAAGGGACACCGCTTAATCTTCGACCTTTCCCAACCCCACGGAGTCGATTAGAAGCAATGGTGTGGAACTTTCCAATAAGCTGGCCTTACTGATATCATCTAACGTTATCAACAAGTTCGAATAAGGTCGCTTAAGGGAAAATTATGGAGTGCTGCTGCCAACATCACTAGTTTCGATGGACTCTGCTGAAGGGGCACCGCTTAATCTTCGAGCTTTCCTGGATCAAGGGTCACAAGCCTCGTTCATCACGGAAAATTCTGTACAGTTATTGGGTCTTCAACGAAGGAAGGTCCATATCAAAGTAAACGGCTTGGCAAGAGTCACAGAGACGTCGGCTGAGGTAACCTTGGAATTGGGGTCACGGTTTGATTCTAAAACCAGGTATCAGGTACATTTATCTGAACTCAAGTTTCCAAAGTGTAAAAATCTATCCTTGGCAGATCCGAGTTATTATGTGCCACAAGGCGTAAATATGCTGCTCGGCAGTGATATTTACTATGAGTTAATGTTAGGCGAAATATATCAAGGCCCTGTCGGGTATCCGTTGGCGTTAAATACTCGGTTAGATTACAATCTATCGAGGAATGTATGTGAGCGTTATCAGTAGCATCGCACACCCTTAAAATATGCAAGCAAGAGGAGCTGGATGAACTAGAAGTCCTACTACGCAAGTTTTGGGAATTGGAGCAAGCGGGCGAAGGGTTTTACAGGCTCGCAAGGGAAGAAATTTGGTGTGAAGATGTTGGAACTTGCATGTTCAAATATACAAAAGTCACATGGATAATTGTGCAATTCATGTTTGCATTAATGTATGTGTACGAGAGGTACCCAGTCGTAAGTTGGGGAACGTGTTTTAAAAAAACATAGTTCTGGGTCAGCACGCATGCTAATTTACCAAGGAAAATGTGCGTGCTGGGTGCATTCTATGGCGGTGCCTTCTAGATGTGTTTCAGAACGGGTATTGCCCAAACGGGTATTCGGGAACGTATTCCGAAAAAAAATAGTTCTGGGTCGTATCTTTTTTACGCAAAACAAATTTACCCAGCAAAATGTGCGTGCTGGGGCAGTCTTTTGGGTGCCATCTGGGTGTATTTCAATATAGTGCATCCAGGTGTATTTTAGTGGGAATGTAAAAAAACCAAACTCAAACCCGAAGGTTGCCGATGCCCATTTTTTTACAATCGTTTTTTTTCGGAACTGTTCTCTTGACAAACAAATAATAAAGACAAAAGGGAACATGCAAGGAAGCGAGCGGTTTTTCTTGTCTCTTGCATTTCTCGTCAGTTGCATTTTTAGTTCTGAAAAGTGAAGTTCGTGCCACGTGTTTTGAAAAAGTGTGTTGCTTTCTGCCACCAATTTTACATCAATATTTTCACAGGTAAGTAAAGTGTAGATGAACACAATAAAATAACACAGTACATGTACACTGAACATTCAAACTAAAAACATATTAAACAAATAAAATAATAACTATTTGTTGGTAAATTGTACATACAAAATAAAAATAATGTATATTTGTAATGTATATACACATATTTCAAAATATATTATATTCAATTTGCTTTATATTTTTCAGAATCGCAAAAAATGAATGGGCACACCAAGGACTGAACTGCGTAAATAACAAAAGTACATAAACAAGAAGGAAGCACCGTACAGAAGGGGAGTTACTCCGATTAAAAATTAGTTGCGTTTTTGAATATTGAAATGAAAATAAATATGAAATTGAAATCCAGTTTTATGTATTCCTGGGGAAAACTTCCAGATATTTGGTTTTTGAATGCTTCTAGGTGCATTCCTGGGTACATGTTACAGGTGCATTAAAAAAGAGTACACCCAGAATGTGTTTAGTATGTTGCTCCCAGGTGCATTAAAAAAGAGTACACCCAGAATGTGTTTAGTTTGTTACTTCCAGGTGCATTCCAGATATATGCTTCCAGAAGCATGCAACGGGTGCATTCTTTTTTGTCCCGCACCCGTGTAAAAAGAATGGACAGACTCATCACTTCCGGAACACCTTTTTGATGCCATTTCATAATGAAAGAACGCATGCTGGAATGCTGACATTTACGACTGGGTAGACGCACATTCCGATGTCTTGGTTTCCTAGGAAACCGCTCAAGGAAACGGGACCATCGTGCTTCTTCTTCCTATCTTCTCGTCGTTCTTTTCCTCTCTCGATATTCATGTTCACTTCGATTCTGGCGTTGAGAGCGTGCGGTTCACACAATCTAAGTTTGCATTATTATTTGTTCATTGGGAGGTTGTCTGTTTAATACTTAATTGTGTTACACCTATTCATTAAAAAAACCATATTTGCTTTATTCTAAGACTAAAATTAATTATTTAATTATTTACATGAATAAGGCACATATTTTGTGACCAGCATGTTCGAGTATAAAGAATGAAATTAATTAAGTAAATATTAAATTTAAATATTTAATTTATATTAATTAAATTAAATATAATCCTTGTAAAAATTAAAATTTTTAATATAAGAATTATTTTGTATTGTTTTTTGTAAGCACTATAAATATAATTGTGTATATTTTGTAGATGAATTTGAAGACTCCGGCTCAAACTATTCGGACAACAAATCTGAAAGTGGATCTGATGACGAGTTTCTCCAAAGCTTTAAAAACAACGAAAGAAAGAGTATGTATTGCAATGTTATTAATATTTGAACTTAAACCTTCAAAGATTACAATCGCTTAAATTATTAAATTTTACTTTTAGCTTTTTAATAAAATTTGTTCAATTTTTTAATAAACACTTTTTTTAGGATCGTCTTTTAAAAAAATTCAACGAAAACCCTGGCCTGCTGATGAAGTTAACGCCTTGACTATCGAGTTTGGCAAACCAGCTCTAATTTCAAAGTTACCTTCGCTTAAAAAATGCATTAAGGTAATCAACAGGACTCCCCATCTTAAAGATAGAACACCCCAGCAAGTCAAGTCTTGGATTGACAACCAAATAAAAGCTGAAGGGCGCAAGCCGGAATCTTATCTTAAAAAGAGTAAATATTAAATAGAAACATTAAATTACATTGTAAAGAATTCGTTGAAGTAATAATTTAATTATTTGTTCATAAATGTTATTTTTTGTTTTTATGATTTAAAAACAGTTATAAATGAAATGTTATAATGTATTTGTTTTCTTTTTCGTTTAAAAAATAAAGCACATGGTGGGACTGTAATTCTAATTAGAAGCCGTATTAAGCACCATAACGAATTTGCTAAAAACTACCTACAGGCCACATCTAAATACTGGCAACCAACTTACACTAGCCGCCGTATACTGCCCACCTCGCTTAACTATAGCTGAAGATGAGTTTATGCAGTTTTTCAACTCACTAGGAGACCACTTCATAGCAGCAGGAGACTACAATGTCAAGCACACACCATGGGGATCTCGTCTCGTGACTCCAAAAGGAAAGCAGCTCCATAATGCAATTACAAAAGCCAAGAGCAAGCTCGACTATGTTTCTTCTGGCACACCAACGTATTGGCCGGCAGACCGAAAGAAACTACACGATTTAATAGACTTTGCGATTACCAAAGACATTCCTAAAAATCTGATAAGCGCCGAATGCCTTTCGGATCTTTCATCTGATGACTCGCCTGTCCAGTTTGTTCTACTCCGACATCCAGCAAAATTTGAATAATCACTAAAATTGACATCACAGAAAACCAATTGGGTTAAGTACAGAAAGTATATTAACTCACACATTAAGCTAAGTGCTCATCTCAACGATGATGCCGAGGTAGACGGCTTTGTTAATTCAATGGAGTCTGAACTCTTCTCTGCAACTCGAGCTTCAAAACCTCAATTATAAATACACAATGCAATCAAAAGAAGACAAATCTACAAATCGAACAGCTCGTCCGCGAAAAGCGACGCTTACGTCGAGAGTGGCAATTCCACAGATCGCCATCTGCTAAGCAAAGCTTACGACATGCCTCACGTCAACTTACTAAAGCTCTACAGCAAGAAGAAGCGTATGTCCACCGCCACTACATAGAGCAATTCTCAAAACACTCACTATGAAAAGCTCACCCAACTCTGAGCTTACCGAAAGAAACCGTGATGCCTATTAGATATCCCACAGGCTGCTTGGCGCGCAGCGATGCAGACAGAGCCAGCACGTTTGCCAACCACCTTACAAATGTCTTCCAACCAAATCCTGCCACTAGTGCGTTTACTTTGCCGACTTTACCATATGAGCGTCAGCTTCAACATGAGCCAATTGAATTTCGCCCAAAGGAAATCGTTAACATCATCAAAAATCAACTGAATCCGAAAAAATTCCCGGGCTGCGACCACATAACTCCCAAAATGATCATTGAGCTCCCATATTGCGCTGTTTGCACTATCACCCAGCTTTTTAATGCCATCGGAAATCTTAAACACTATCCAGTGAGATGGAAAAAGTCAATTATAATAATAATAGCAAAGCCGGGAAAAGACCACACAATCTCCACGTCTTATAGACCTATAAGCCTACTTTCATGCTTATCTAAACTCTTTGAAAAATGCGTATTGACTAGGATAAACACATACCTAAGACTCCAGGAAGGAATCCCGTCACATCAATTTGGGTTTCGTGAAAATCACGGAACAATTGAGCTGGTCAACCGGATAACATCAGAAATTCGGAGCGCGTTCAAAAAACGAGAGTACTGTACTGCCATATTTTTAGATGTCTCTCAAGCATTTGATAGAGCCTGGCTAGAAGGTCTAATGTACAAGATCAAGACAATGCTCCCCTACAACACCCACAAGCTATTAGAGTCTTACTGTTTATGCTTAACCGAAGTAGACACTTCCGGGTCACACCGCGGGACAAGGGGGTAATGAGCACTTGTCGCTGGCACGGGGACGCTTTGCTGGCAGGACGATCGCGTCGCGGCAATGGTAACGATGGTTTCCGCGATGCCGGACCACAGGCGATGCGGAACTGCGCTGAGGTAGAGCTAACGTGGTTAGCTGCTAGTTGAGATAGCGTAATACGAGCAATATTCCCAGAGGTAGGAAGTAGAACCGCGGAGTTAAGAGGTGTGTTGATAACTCATTTATTCTTCATTTGATACCTGCTTATATACTACTTGGAACACGGAAGCTTAGTGTAATGATTAGTAAAATAAGCTATAATCTAAAGTAGGTCAGGGAATTATGATTATGGTGCAGTTGGCTCGGCTTAAACTGCAACATGTGCTGACTGCATTGGCGCGTCAGTGTACCGTTGAGTTGGTGAGACGGTGAGTTAGTGAGACATATAATATGCTGATAAGCACTTCTCATCTGCAGTGAGTGCTACTGAGCGCCTTGTACTGTTCCCAACTTGGTTTCTGCTTGATTTGTTGGGTGTGGTCATGTTGAGTACCTTTGGGTACGAACAGTTATATTAGGTGGAATATATTTCCTTAATATTGATATTACATTTTTTGGAGTGTCATACTCTATTATTTGTCTAGTATTTCCGAATACATTAATCGACTCGTGTAATGAATACCTCCCCGTTGCTATTAGCATTTGTCAAAGAGGCGCACAAATACCCCCTTTCCTACTCCACAAACAACAACTCTAACGACATATCACACTTCTTGAAAAAGCACATACAATCAAAAGAAGCTGACATCTACAACAATGTATCGCCTTGGTACAAACAAATGCTACAGACCTCACCGCAATCCATCTATCAGATACCCCCAAACACCAATAAGAAAACACAAATACTTTTACACCGGATACGACTAGGACATACCAAACTGACTAATGCCCATTACATGGATAGAACACTTCCCAACACATGCCCATTCTGCCACCACTCCCCAATAGACATCCAACATATCATTATACACTGCCCTTCCTTATCCCAACACAGATCAGAATCATTCCAATCACTTAACCCCATCAACACCATCTCAAACCCAACCCCCGACAACACCATACAAATCATCACATTTCTTGAAAAAGCCCAAATTAAGTTTAAAATTTAAATGTATTTAAAAATGCTGTTAATTCATCACCTCAGATGAGCTGAAGACCTTAGCTGATAGAGCTCTTAATTTAGTTTTAACTTTAAGCTAGCTTTATATAAATAAATAAATAAATATTAGTATTTGTTGCTTAAACTGGTTTTCGGGTTTCTTCTATAGCATTCTCAAAACTACTCTCTGCTGAATGCTGATTGTTTTGATCTGAAACCAATACGATACTTTCCGTTCAGTTGTTTATTTGGATCCTTGGATAAATAATTTTGGGTGAACAACTTTCAATGAAGGAATACCATCTCTTCATGTTGATATTTGTATTTATTTGAGAAATTGAGAACGAAAGAGGTTGATGATCTGTGTAAATCTCGATGTTGTTAAACACATATAAGTTATTCCCCAGATTTTTAAAAGCCCATACTATGGCTAAAAGTTCATTATTATTTGTTGCGCATAATTGTTCGGTTCGGTTTACCCGGACGGCCCTCACGGGGTCACGCACTGGCCAATATGGCCCTTACTTGTCCGGTTGATTTGTATGAACATTGAGATGAGTTTAGAGGATTTTATGTCCACAAGGATCGAGGTGTTTTTGGCGAAGGCAAGAAGTTCGCCTGGTTTCCTGCTGGAGGCATCTCCTAGTGATGCCAGTACTGGGGCACCGAGGTATCTTCTTCTTGCTCGTGAGAGAACCGGGCAATTGCAGATAAGATGTTCCAGGGTTTCGATAGCCCCCGATTCATCGCATTTTCTGCAGGTGCGGCTGTATAGTATTCCGAGTGTGGTTGCGAGTGATGCGGCCAGACAGTGGTCTGTGAGGATTCCCACTAAAAGTCTCCAGTCTTTCCGTGCGGTACATAGTGGTTGAGTTTATCATTGCACTCTTTGCACATTATTCTTGCGATTCGGCAAGTCTTGGTATTCCTCCACCTGCTTTTTGCTCGCGTGCCCGAATGTTTCTCCAGTGCACTTTGTGGCGTTCGGAGGGAGATAGGCACATTCTCCGTTCTGTCATTCGTCAGCTCTATGCGCTCCTTTGCAAGAACGTAAGCTGTCTCATTGCCATCGATGCCCTTGTGCCTGGGAACCCAATATATCCGCACAGACTTGGTCGTGCTGAGGCTGTCTAGTGCCTCCCTGCGAATTTTGTTTAAGGAGTTGCGAAGTTTTAAAAAAAATAAATTATTTGTAAGTAAAACACGTCAAGCGGGTTTGGTGGGCAAAAATCTACTGAATATTCTTTATTGATAATGTTTTAAAGAAAACTTAATTTAGGTTTACAGAAGTGCTTATTAGGTTTTCTTACGAATTATTCTGGTCGACATGTGTAAGATCGTTGGCCTCTAGTTAGCCTGAATTTAATAACGATCGATGAACTATGCATTTCCTGTTTACTGTGTTATATTGCTTATTTGGATTTTATATTTTCTTAGAACTTATTTTGGTTGGCATGTGCCAGATCGTTAACCTGTGCATTTCCTGTTTGCTGTATTACTTTAATATATTGTTTATTTAGCATTTAATGAGTTAAGCAATTCTTGTACTTTATTATTAAGAGGTGGTAAAGAAGAAATTGGGTTTTGGACATATGTGGGAAGTGAAGTGGGGTTATACGTAAGTTCTCCCCATTTTAGATAAGAATTCTCCTGAATTCTATTGTTATTGAGCTGAATTTTAATTTTCTTGTGTTTTAAAACAATGTAGGCAATTAATACAATTATTGACAAAAGTATGGTTGCATTAAAAAAATAATTTATGTCTTTATGTGTTTTTAATTTTCTTATGTTCGGCCAGTTAATCTTATTATTTTCCAATATTTTCTCAAAAGTGATTTGTTTAGTAAAATTTTGAGTTTGGTTTGATTTCTCATATAAAATTCTTTTCTTATCTAATTCGTATGAATTTGTAAAATAATTATTTTCTATACCTATTGTACAATTTGTAAAGTGTATTAGAATATTTTTTTTCATTTTAATTTCATTGCTGTTACAATTTTGATATAATGTTTCATTTTTAGAATTCTTAATTACTACGGTTTCTTCGTCTAGTTCTAATATTTGCATTTCATTTCTTTGTATCACTTTGCAATTTTTCTTAAATACACAATGTTTACTTTTTCGCATTTCTTTTAATTTTTTATTTGTTTTATAGGTGTATGTTGAATTTTTATAGTTAAATATCAGTTCTGATTCCTGATCTATTTCAAAGTTTTCTTCATTAGGCATCGGTATTATCTGTTGTATTTATACTGTTATAAAGTTTTTTGGTATTTCTATTGCGAATACTAAAAGATTATTTCTGAACATAGCCGTAGCTTACTTTATATGGTTTAGTTTGTTGAAATCGATATTGTATTTTTTTTATTTCGTGATCTGTTAATATGCTGGGATGTAATATATTGTATCTAGCAGAAGCAACGTTATCCTGCAAATGTTCAATCTTATTTTTTATTAACTGAATTTTTATCTGTTGGTCGTAATATAAGTTCTCCTGGTATCTGTTATTTTCGAATTTGCTAATTGCATTCAATTGTCTCTCTATTGCCTCTGTATCTGATTTAACTATTTGTTCAATGTATTTTATTGTATCATTGAAATACGTATTTATGTAAATTTGCTTGTTTAATGCTTCATCTGTTTCCTGCATGTTTTCTTTAAATGTAGAGATATGATTTTCAACTTCTTTCCTGTCTTCATCGTCCATTGTTCCAAACAACCATTTTGCTGAACTACCTACTACATTAATTAATCCTCTTCTTTCGCGATTGTGGTTTCCATATAGGGTATACAATTTGTTTTTTGTTTCAGTTAGTTCCGATTGTAATATGTGTTTGTTGTCATTGTTTGTCATTTCTATGTTTTTTCCTATTTCGTTCAAAATATTGTCAATATCTTTTAAGTTTATTATATGTACTACTATATCTGTTGTGATAATTATATCTTGATTTTTCATCTCTATTTGCGCATACCCGTCCTGATCAGGTATTTCTTGAATCGTTAGTGTTCCCGCTGTTGTTGTTATTGCCATTGTCATTAGTATTGTCGTCAGCAACATAGTCGTCGTTAGTATTTTCTGTAAATTTATAAGGGCGTTTAATATTTATTGGGTCAATATTACCGAGATTTGCTTTTTTAAATTTCGGAGCTTCTTTGTGTCTGACTGCCTTGTAGTTTTTTATAAAACCCTCTTCTCGTTTTTCTTCATAATGCTCCCTGTTGCCGTTGTGCTTTTCTAACATTTTTTGTTTAGCGCTATCTATATTTTCTTTTATTTTTGTCAATTCTATCTTATTGTTGTGGGCTTCGCTGGGGGTACATTTGGTTGTGGAGTGATATCTTTCATTGTAATTTCTCACTGCTCTCTGCATAATTTGTTTTACTGACATATTCGACGCTTCCGTTTTATATGTTATTCTAAACTTTTCTGCTAGTGAATTGTGTAGTCTTTCTACATCTGAATTGCCAGTGTGACTATTCGGTTTTGTTAAGTGTAATTCTATCCCTTCTTGTCTTAGTAGTTCTTTAATCCTGAATGAATCAAATTCGTTATCAGCTATTATTTTACCTGGTTTGCCTATTTTCGTAAAATGTTCCTCCAATTGTTCTACTATAGTGATATGATTTCTATCATTTAATGGGTATACTGCTGCGAACTTTGAAAATTTATCTATGGTCGTTAAAAAATGTGTATTTTTTATTACATATGTATCCAAGTGTATTATCTGATTTTTATCTGATGGGGTTTCCGTTTTACTGAATTTATTTTGAATAGGATTTCTATCATATTTTATTTCTTTGCAAAAATCGCATTGATTTATAACCATTTGCACCAACTCTAACAATTTTGGAAAGTAAATCTTGTTTTTCAATTGGTTATATGTTTCCTGAATTCCTGAGTGCATATTTTCTCTTACATGATAAAACGAAATTTGTCTTACTGCTTCTGTTTCATGTTCAATATCTTGAGCTCTGAGTGTGCATTTTATGAATTCTAATTGTTTGTTGTCTGAAAACATTTCTATTAGTTTTTCTTGTACTATGTTATACTCTTGATACGATAATTCTGAATAGATTCCGACTTTTCCTTTGTGTATATATTTATTTATTTATTTATTTATTTATTTCGCCAACAGTTGGTACCTTAACTGGCTACTTGTATATTATTAAACTAAATACTAAGGGACGAAAGGTAATTGTAAAGGGTTTTCTTAATTAATTCCCTAGGAGAGCATGGGTCCAGCCGCATGTGAGATGGAAGTTTGTTCCAGTAGAACAAGGCTCTACACAGAGGCTCATTAAAAGCATAGTTAGCTCTATATGCCGGAATAAAAAAGGGTTCAAATGACCTTAAAGACCTACCAGGTACGGAAAAGCCTATGCTACTCAGCAATGCAGGGCAGTCTATTTTGGAGGACAGCAGGTCACAAATAAAAACTAGTGCGCTAGTTGTTCTACGATCTTGTAGGGAAGAAAGGTGCACAAGACGACATTTCGCAGAGTAAGAGGGAACCGGGTCATTAAAGTTTAGAGAAAGAAGGGCAAAAGATAGGAATTTTTTTTGAACACGCTCAATACGATTGATGTGTGTAGTTCCAGTCGGACTCCAGACAAACGAAGCATATTCCAATCTGGACCTAATGAACGAAGAAAATAGGCTTAGTTTCGTGTACGGATCTTTAAATTGCGTGGAATTTCGTTTTACAAAACCATACATAGCGTATGCCTTTGGAATTATGTAGATTATGTGATCCATGAAAGTAAATTTGGTATCAAACATAACTCCTAGGTCCAGTGATTCATTTCTTAAGGAAAGAACATGGGAACTAATGGAATAAGAGCTAAGGACATTAATTAATCGTTTGCTGTACCTAACGTAGAAACATTTTGACACGTTCAGAGGCAACTTATTACGAGAACACCAATTTCCCACATTTACTAGGTCATTTTGAAGAAGTTCACTATCGGAGATTGAATTCACAGACCTAAATATTTTAAGATCGTCCGCAAACAACAGGAATTCAGAATTTGTTATGCAATAGCTTAAATCATTAATGAAGATGATGAATAGAAACGGACCCAAAGCACTTCCCTGAGGAAGGCCAGAAGTAGCCACATACGGGTTTGAGAAAACACCATTGCACTCTACTCTATAAATCCGCCCATCTAAATAAGATTTAAACCAATTTAATATTGATGAATGAAATCCCAATTTCTGCAATTTTGCCAATAAAGCATTATGGGAGACTTTGTCAAATGCTTTGGCGAAGTCGGTGTAGACTACATCAACTTGATGATGACTGATAAACGAGTGGATGCAAAAAAGATTAAACGTAGCTAAGTTAGTGGTAGTTGACCTTCCAGGCATAAAACCATGTTGGTTAGGACTGATGATCCGACCAGCAAGAAAAGTTAGCTGCTTAGCTACAATTCGTTCAAACATTTTTGAAACATTACTTAGCTTTGCAATTGGCCTATAATTTGAAACAATGTTTTTGTGACCAGACTTGAATATAGGAGAAACTGTGGCAAGTTTCCATCTATGCGCAAATACGCCAGTGGAAAGAGACTTGTTGAAGATCATTTTTAGGGGCTCACAAAGAACATCTATACAGTTTTTCAAAATAAATGGAGAAAGGCCATCGCAGTCTAATTTTCCTGAGTCGTTAAAACTCTCAGCCGCCATATGACAGTCCAAATCAGTAACATCTAAGCACCCAATATTTAGCATCGTGGCAATGGCACCGAGTGAATCATCGTCATTCCACAGCGAGCTCGGTTCAAAGTTAGATACAAAATACTTAGCAAATAGATTAGCGACCCCAATATCAGAAGAAGCTGAAAGACTTTCATATGACATATGGGAAGGAAAGTAGGAGGTTGTACGTTTAGAATTGATAAAGTGCCAGAATGACTTAGGATTGGTAATTAGTTTACACTCTATATCAGCAATATATTGGCTGTATAAGAATTTATTGAGGAACTCAAACTCACGCTTATGTTGTTTGTACCGATCAAAGTCGGCAGCTTCACCGCTTTCTATGTAGCGCTTATAGAATTTATTTCGGAGATTTTTGTATTTTTTTAGTCCTTGTGTGTACCATGGTAGTCTATAAGAACTTTGAACTCTAGTTTTAGCATATCTGCCTTTAATAGTAGAGAGAAAAGATATAAAAACTTCATAGGTTGTATTCACATCCGCATGCGAGAGGACTTCCGCCCATCTGATATTAGAAATATCACTACGGATAGAATCTAAACTGCTAGAATTAATATAGGTAAGAGGCAAGCGAGAATTATTTGGTGAGAAAATATAACAAGTAATTAAGATTAATAGGGGCTTGTGATGAGCATCACACGCGGCTAGAGGATTATCGCTGCAGCATAGAGTAAGGCATAAATCAGGGTGTACAAAAATTAGATCTAGAAGCTTATTTAAGTTATTAAAAACATGGTTAATCTGGACTAATCCCATACTAAGAAGCTCATCGATGACTAAGATTTCATGGGGAAGATGCAGATTACTGGGAACCATTGCTGAAGACTCAAGATCATGAGCCCACACGAGCGAAGATAGGTTGAAGTCGCCCAAAACACATATATATTGGCCATCTTCCAGCTCCTGGTATAGGTGGGCAATGTTGTCAACATGCGCTTTATATAAATCAAAACTGCTGCTTGGGGGTATGTATGATACTGTCAGGAAAATTGTTTCCGTAGGACCAGCGAGAGATACACAGAGTTGGCCGAGCAGAGAATCCTCGTTCTGGAGACAAATAGCAATGCAACGCAGCTCACGCCGCACAGCAATTAAAACTCCGCCACCTCTGGAGCATCGTGTTTTAACGGAATCTCGATCCTTACGGAACACATGATAAAGATTTGTATCGAAGAATTCATTATCGAAGAAATCCATGTTGAGCCAGGTTTCAACAAAAATGATGACGTCATGATCACCATGAGACGTTGCCTGGAAAAGGGATTGAGCTTTCGTACGCATACCACCGATATTTTGAAAATAAATATTGAAATTTGTATTGTTAGCGCATATCCGGTCATCCATGGTCATGCTATCAATAACTGGTCCAGCATCATGGCCCGAATCCGTAAGAGGCCTCGCTGGGATTTTATCATAATTAATAAAATTATTTGTAAGAACCTTCAGTAAAGTAGTGGTACGGATACGAATAGGCTGGTGATCGGCGCTCCAAATATTAGGTGGGCAGTCAATATAAGCATTCAAGATATAACTGCACGCAGGTGAATCCACTCCTGGTAATAATGAGCGAGAACGTTCTACAGCAGCCGCAGTCCATTGTTGTTGTTGATGGCGAAAGCATCTCCAAAGAGCACCTTCAGAGAGAGCACTCTGAGAGAGTTGTTGTAGAAAGTCGAACGTCAGAAAGGTAGAGACGGAGAGCGCATGACTATTAGGCGATGAAGAGTAAGAATCCACCCGATTTTCTAGGTAATTCCGGAGAGAGACGCCAGATGATGAGAGCGCAACTCCGAGGAGCGCGCCGATATTAGAGCCAGGCGGACGGCGAATGTCGCGCACAGCGGACAACAAAAGCTCCAGCTGATGTTGTTGACGGTGCAACGGGAGAGAGGCGCAAGATGATGAGAGCGCAACTCCGAGGAGCGCGCCGATATTAGAGCCAGGCGGACGGCGAATGTCGCGCACAGCGGACAACAAAAGCTCCAGCTGATGTTGTTGACGGTGCAACGGGAGAGAGGCGCAAGATGATGAGAGCGCAACTCCGAGGAGCGCGCCGATATTAGAACCAGGTGGACTGCGAACGTCTCGCAAAGCAAACAACAAAAGCTCCGGCTGATGTTGTTGATGAAGCATCAGGAGAGCCACGGAAAGTGATGTGAGCGCAACTCCGAGGAGCGTGCCGATATTCAAGCCAGGCGGACGGCGAATGTCGCACAAAGTGGACAACAAAAGCTCCGGCTAATGTTGTTGATGGTGCGTTAGGAGAGAGTCAGAAGATGAAGAGAGCGCAGTGAGAAACGCAAGCAGCTGCCGATGTTGTTGCGAAAACGACTCCGACAAATGAGGAAAGGCTTGCAGACGATGTCCCGCAAAAGTATCGACGCCAGTGGCGTCGAACACTAGGGGTTTTTTGACGGCTGACTTGATGATGAAGTTGGTCCAGGCTCCGGCAAATTAGATAAAATTCCATCCCCTACCACAGTGGCCCGCTCTCTATGAATAAATCTTTTGACCTTAACTGAGTTCGGCCAGAAATCGTTTTTGAAGACTATATCGTAAAGCTGATCAGGGATACCAAGCTTGAAATTTACAAATTTTAAAGTTTGAACGTCGACATCTTTTTTTACAAGCTTTGCACAAGTGAGAGAACTAGCATCCACCTTAAGCTTGGTGGACACATATTTTAAAACAGCATTCGGATCTGTATCAGTTGCAAACTTTCCGACATGCAAAAATTTCTTGGTCGGCAAAACATGAAGGTCTTCAGCATTAGGAGCCACTCCAACAACATGTTTATTGGGCTTGTTGTTGTTCCTTCTCCTCTTATTTCGTACTTGTATGAAATTTCCTCTCTCCATATCCAGAGCATGATTAGAAGGGTCAACGACCGCGGAAGCCGTAGCAGCAGCAGCCGCATATGACAGGGGAGCTGCAGCTACGTTGGTAGGCCTCGGTAGACGAGGTTTCGGATTTACATTCTGATGCAATGCATCATCTTTAGGGGGGAACGCCTCCATGAATTTATTTTGAAGGCCCTGATATAAGCGCTCCAGGGCTTTCAATTTTTCATCGAATTCATCTATTTTAGAATGCGAATCATTCGCAACCACACAGCTATCACATTGCCATAGTATATTTGGATTTAATAAGAGTTTGAGCACATCATCCGGTAGGGCTACGCAAGAAGTATGATAGGCGCGACGGCACAAAGAAGAGCAGCGAACAGCATCCGAAGCGCGAAGCTGGGCCAATGTAACATCGGTTTTGCACTCGGGACAGCGGGGAAGTAACATAGCGAGAATTTAAGCACGTCTGGACGCAAAGAAAGCTAGATGACGACTGAAATTTCCTGAAAATATCTCCCATTGTTGGAAAGTCATGTTTTGCTATAAATATTATTGATTTTCCATGTATTGTTTTATACTCGTCTGTTTTACTGTCTGTAATAATTATTTGTGTTTTATATTTGTTAACTATTTCCTCTTTTATATAAAAATGATTGTGTAAATTTTCTTCGGCTGAGTGTACTGTTGATGTTGAGAGATTATCTTCAATGTTTGCTATCATGTTTATGTCTGAAATATTATCTTTGTATTCATTGTCTCTTTCGTTTTCGGTTTTCTTCGTGAGGTCGCTGTCTTCCAGTCTGCTAAGAAAATCTGCCACTCTGTTCTCTTTTCCTTTCAAGTAATCTATCTCAAATTGATATTCTCCTAATTTTAATAACCATCTCTGGTGTCTGGGTGAAATATCTTTACCTTTATGTTTTGAGTGTAAGAATTTTATTGGCTGGTGGTCAGTTAATATTTTGAATTTATTCCCGTAAAGGTATGGTCTGAAATAATTGACGCTCCATAGTATTGCTAGGAATTCTTTGTCTGTTGCTGAGTAATTTTTTTCATGATTGTTTAGCGTTCTTGATGCAAAGCAGATTGGATGACCGTCTTGAGATAGGACAGATCCAATTGCATAATTTGATGCATCTGTAGTTAATGTAAATTTTTTTTCAAAATTGGGATATCTTAAAATTGGGTGAGAACTGATTAAATGTTTTAATTTTTCAAATGCTTCGACATAGGTGGGGTCTTTTAGATTTATTTTAACATTTTTTTTCAAATACTTGGTTATTGGCTGTGCTACTTTAGCATAATCTTTTATAAATTTTCTGTAATAACCTGTTATACCTAAGAAGCTTTTTATTTGCTTCTCTGTTCGTGGTAACAGTAATTTTTCTATGATTGCGATCTTATTTGGATTTGGCTTAATGCCCTCTTTTGTAAGGATATGTCCTAGAAATTCAGTTTCCTTTTTCATGAAGTTACACTTGTCAATCTGTATTTTTAAATTTTTCTTTTCTAATATTTGGAATATTTCGTTAATAGCTTGAATATGTTCTTTTAATGAGGTGCTGAAAATAAGTATATCGTCTAGATACACGACGCATTTTTTATTAATGTGATCCCTAAGTATTTCATTCATAAGTCTTTGGAATGTGGCAGGGGCATTTTTTAACCCAAATGGCATTCTTATAAACTCATATAGTCCATGTGGCGTTACGTTTTTTTTTCTGTTTGATTCTCGGACTAAGATCTGATGGTAGCCTTTGGCTAAATCTATTGTAGTGAAGTATTGAGCTTTTCCTAGTTTATCCAAAATAGAATTAATGTTCGGAATCGGAAATTTGTCGTCTATGGTTATTTCATTTAACTTCCTGTAGTCTATTACAATCCTAAACTTTTTCTTTCCTGAGTTGTCGATCTTCTTCGGGATTACTATAAGTGGGCTAGAGTATCTTGAATTACTCTTTCTAATTATACCCTGTTCTTCCATTTCTTTTATTTGTTTCTTCCTCGTGTTGTGGTGGGTATCTATAAAGTTTTGAGTTTAACTGTTCCTCTGTATTGGTCCGTATTTCGTGTTCAATTTCTGTCGTACTAGTTAGTTGGTCTCCCTCCTTAAAAAAAAGTTTGCTAAATCGTTGTACAATGACTTTAATTTCTCTGACTTCTTCTTCATTTAAGTGGTCGAGTTTCAAATTCTCTAAGTTTTTACTGCTACTTTCTAATACGGAAACTTCTTCGTATTGATATGGATTGTTTATAATTACGTTTTCTTTTTGATTTAAAATTAAAACCTTCCTCTCAATGTTTATAAATGTATTTAAAAAATTTAGGAGGTCTATCCCTATGATAAAATTGTATTTTCTTCCCTTAAGCGGGGCTAATTTCCATCGTACTCTTGCGTTATTTGGTAAGTTAAATTCTTTTGGGGCTGTGGTATGAATTTCGTACGCTATTACGTCTTTGCTGTTAATTGTAGTGTATGGTATGGGCGTATTTAGTCTCATTTTTCTGTAACCGTTAATCTGGTCGCTAACTAAACTCAAGGTGGCTCCTGTGTCTATTAAGGCCACGTATTTCTGTTTGTCTATGTTAAGTTCTATTAGTGGTAACCCATCCGAGGCGGCTTCGTAAAAAAAACCGTATTATTGAATTCTGCCTGTGTATAGTTTTCCATTTGATTATTATCGTGTTTACTGTTCGAGTTATGGTCACTGTTGTAGTTGTCATTTTCGTATCTGCTTTGGTCGGTATTGTTTTGGTGTTGGTTGGCTTCTATGTTATCTACCTCCATAGGTACCACATTCGCTGGCCTATTTTGCCTAGACTGATGTGATCCTGCTTGTTGATTCCACTGATTATTTTGATATCGTCTACTTTGTCCGGAGTTATTGCCTCTAAAATTCTGAGGGGTATTGTTCTGTCTAACTTGTCCTGAATTGTTGCTCTGATAATTTCGATGTACATTTTGCATTGTATTGTTTTGCTGATTATATTGTTGATTGGTATTCTGGTTGTTGTTCCTGTAATTGTTTTGATTAGGTCTACCTTTCCTATACTGATACCTAATGCAATTATTCTCATATCTGCGTTGCATCATTATCTTTAATATAGTGCTTAAATCTCTGACTTCGTAGATCTTGTCTAGTAAAGTGCCTTGTGTCATTTCTTTGGCTGTGTTAACTAATAAACTTTCGACATTACTTAAATCTATAAAATTATCATTCATATGATAATGATACACAATTAATTCATCATTTTTATATTTTATATTTTGAATTTCTACTGCAAGCTCGCTCACCGAATTCACTCTCAGGTCACATATCCTCTTGTAGATTTGGTGCGGCTCCGTGTCTGGTCTGTACCTTAACTTCAAGGTGGCTTTTATCAGGTCCCAGTTGTCCGGCTCCGGGATGTTTATTACTGCATCCTTTGCTTGACCCTGAATTGTCCTGTAGAATATTGTCCTTGTGGCTTCTCTCTTGAGTTGTGGGTCCTCTACAGTCTGTAACAGGTACTCCACGCTACTGAAGAAGGAGTTGATGGAGATTTCCCCGGTTCCCGTAAAGGTTGCCAATCGATTGATGTTTTTGAACAACCGCTCTTGTTGGGCTGGGTTGTTTCCATTTCCTTGGAGCTGTACATACGCTTGTTGCAGTTGCTCCAGCTGTCTTTCCCTTATGGCCAATTGTTCCAAAAGATCCGCTTGGGGCATCTGGCCGTTATCGTGAGCCATCCTGCTATTGTCGTATGAAGCGATCCTTCGCTGCCTTCTTATATCCAGGTTGAGTTGATTTCCTTCTTAGCGCAGTCTAAGTCGATTTTAGTTTGATCTCTACAGGCATTAATCCACTGCTTTTTAGTTGGATTTAATGCTGTTGCGCTGCTTGGTCTGGTTTTGCTTTGATCAATGCACTTTTCTATGCACTGCACCACGTTCACTTAGCGGACTGATTTTTAGTTCGCTTCTGTTCGCTGACTTTTTGTATTTTTTATTTATCACAAAAAATTTTTGTTATTTTTTTTTTCTTCGCGTTAAGTTCGATTTAACTAAACACTGGTAAAACACGTCAAGCGGGTTTGGTGGGCAAAAATCAACTGAATATTCTTTATTGATAATGTTTTAAAGAAAACTTAATTTAGGTTTACAGAAGTGCTTATTAGGTTTTCTTACGAATTATTCTGGTCGACATGTGTAAGATCGTTGGCCTCTAGTTAGCCTGAATTTAATAACGATCGATGAACTATGCATTTCCTGTTTACTGTGTTATATTGCTTATTTGGATTTTATATTTTCTTAGAACTTATTTTGGTTGGCATGTGCCAGATCGTTAACCTGTGCATTTCCTGTTTGCTGTATTGCTTTAATATATTGTTTATTTAGCATTTAATGAGTTAAGCAATTCTTGTACTTTATTATTAAGAGGTGGTAAAGAAGAAATTGGGTTTTGGACATATGTGGGAAGTGAAGTGGGGTTATACGTAACTTGCGCGCCATTACATTTTTGGAACTGACCGTTGACGACTGCATGGATTTTATCGCCGCTTGGCTGTCCACGAACAAGTTGACCACATCATGTGATCGGTTTATATTTTGAGCAGGTTAAAGTTTTTTAAAAAAATGTAATTGGTTTTCCTTCCTGAGAAAGAACAGCACCAATAGCTAAATCAGATGCATCAGCTGTTAGAGTAAATTTTTCATTGTAATCTGGTAGTACTGATTATATTTGTGTGCTTAAATTGTCTTTCAGCTCGTTTATATTTTGAGCAGGTTAAAGTTTTTTAAAAAAATGTAATTGGTTTTCCTTCCTGAGAAAGAACAGCACCAATAGCTAAATCAGATGCATCAGCTGTTAGAGTAAATTTTTTATTGTAATCTGGTAGTACTGATTATATTCCGCTTTTACAGCGGAATCTTTCAACTGTATTACGTTTTACGTGATGTATTTTAAGATACTTGCCATTTTGGCCTTCTAAATATTTTGTTAAAGGTTTCGCAATCTTTGCATAAATTGTAATACATTTTCTGTAATATTTTATTAGGCGAAGAAAGCTTCTAAGCTCTCGAATATTTTTAGGAACTGGATATTTTATAGTTGTAGAAATTTTTATCGGAATCGGTTTTCCTTAGATTGTGGAAAACAACGTAACAGAGAAAGTTAGTTTTCATACCCGTTTCAGTAATGTGCCAAGCCCACTCCAACGCCCATAACGCCTAAATTTGTCTACCGCCCACATAACGACATATTGATCTCACGGGTAGGTGGCGCAAGTCAATCTCGCTTTACTGCTTGCATATCTCCATTTCCCTTTGGTCCCTTTAGCTGAGTAACGGGTATCTGATAGTCGAGGTACTCGACTATAGCGTTCTCCCTTGTTAATTTAAAGAACTTTGATTTTTCAATCGAAATTTTCATGCTTCTGTTCAACAAAATTTTAATTTGACAATGAAATTTAATAATGTCGTCTATATAAACACGACACGTTTTACCCACTTGTTTTCCTAAAACATCATCCATTGCTCGTTGAAATATTCTAAGAGCGTTTGTTAGCCCAAAAAGCATTCTTAGGAATTCGTGTTCCATTGTTTATTGAGAATGAGGATTTCTGAATATCTGTTTCATTCATGAGGATCTTATAAAATCCTGATAAATAGTTCTATCATTTTCGGTATTTCTTTCACTGCGTATATCTGTCCTAAGAGGGATCTGCATATTTCTTCAATACTTCAATATTTCATTCTCCAAATCATTTCTTTGATCTGCAGGTGATATTTATACCCGTCACTCGTAGAGTAAAAGGGTATACTAGATTCGTCGGAAAGTATGTAACAGGCAGAACCCCATTAAGTATATATATTCTTGATCAGAATCACTAGCCGAGTCGATCTAGCCATGTTCGTCTGTACGTCTGTCCGTCTGTCCGTATGAACGCTGAGATCTCGGAAACTATACAAGCTTAAATACTGGGATTAGGCCTGCCGATTCCTGAGATTCCTGCGCAGCGCAAGTTTGTTTCAGCAGAGTGCCCCGCCCACTGTAACGCCCACAACCCGCCCAAAACTGTGGCTCCTACAGTTTTGATGCTAGAATAAAAATTTTAACTGAAATGTATTGCTCTCGTCAATACCTATCGATTGACCCAAAAAAAGTTTGCCACGCCCACTCTAACGCCCATAACGCTTAAATCTGTCTACCGCCGGTAGGTGGCGCATTTCTATCTCGCTTTGCTGCTTGAATATCCCCATTTCCCTTTGCTTCTTTTAGCTGAGTAACGGGTATCTGATAGTCGAGGTACTCGACTATAGCGTTCTTCCTTGTTATACCCGTTACTCGTAGAGTAAAAGGGTATACTAGATTCGTCGGAAAGTATGTAACAGGCAGAAGGAAGCGTTTCCGACCCCATAAAGTATATATATTCTTGATCAGGATCACTAGCCGAGTCGATCTAGCCATGTCCGTCTGTCCGTCTGTCTGTCCGCCCGGATGAACGCAGAGATCTCGGAAACTATGAGATTTGGCGTGCAGATTCCTGAGCTTCTTACGCAGCGCAAGTTTGTTTCAGCACAGTGCCACGCCCTCTCTAACGCCCACAAACCGCCCAAAACTGTGGCTCCTACAGTTTTGATGCTAGAATAAAAATTTTAACTGAAACGTATTGTTCTCATCAATACCTATCGATTGACCTAAAAAAAAGTGTACCACGCCCACTTTAACGCCCACAAACCGCACAAGCCTGTGACGCCCACAATTTTCAAGCTAAATAAAATTTTTTGCTGAAATGTATTGGTCTCGTCAATACCTATCGATTGATCCAAAAAAAAATTTGCCACCCCCACTCTAACGCCCATAACGCTTAGATCTGTCTACCGCTGGTAGGTGGCGCATTTTAATCTCGCTTTGCTGCTTGCATATCTCCATTTAGCTGAGTAACTGGTATCTGATAGGCGAGGTACTCGACTATATCGTTCTTCCTTGTTTTATTTTGTGATCGTCACTGTCTCTTATTCATTTAATAAAGTTTAAATTAGAGAAGATAAGTCTTTAGGGAAAGAAGCTGTTAATGTCGAACTATCTGCTTAAGATTTTAAAAAGCCATGGGTTATTTTTAAAAGGCCTAGAAATAAGATTATAAAAGATTGTGAGGTGGTATTTACTTTAAAACATCATGAGATGGAATATCCAGTTATTTTTTTATATTACACAATATATCAAATATATCGCGGAGAAACGTTCGCCCCTGTTGCTAGAATTTCTTCCGTTTTTTTTTATTTCTTGCAAACCAATATATTTATACTAGTTACTCGCAGAGTAAAAGGGTGTACTAGATTCGTCGGAAAGTATGTAACAGGTAGAAGGAAGAGTTTTCGACGCCATAAAGTACGAGTATTGTGTGTCTTGGAAACAAGGAGTCTTGTGAAGCTGGATGAAGCTGAGTATCCTGTGAAGCTGGATGAGGCTGAGTATTCTGTGAAGCTGGATGAAGCTGACGTTCCTGTGACGCTGTAAGAAGAAGCGTGTCCTGTGAAGCTGAATGAAGCTGTGAGTCCTGTGAAGCTGGATTAAGCTGAGTATCCTGTGATGCTGAATGAAGCTGGGTATCCTGTGAAGCTGAAGTTCCTGTGACGCTGGAAGAAGAAGCGTATCCTGTGAAGCTGGATGAAGCTGAAGTTCCTGTGACGCTGGAAGAAGAAGCGAATCCTGTGAAGCTGGATGAAGCTGAAGTTCCTGTGACGCTGGAAGAAGAAGCCGATCCTGTGAAGCTGGATTAAGCTGAAATTCCTGTGACGCTGGAAGAAGAAGCGAATCCTGTGAAGCTGGATGAAGCTGAAGTTCCTTTGACGCTGGAAGAAGATGCGAATCCTGTGAAGCTGGATGAAGCTGAAGTTCCTGTGACGCTGGAAGAAGAAGCCAATCCTGTGAAGCTGGATTAAGCTGAAATTCCTGTGACGCTGGAAGAAGAAGCGAATCCTGTGAAGCTGGATGAAGCTGAAGTTCCTTTGACGCTGGAAGAAGAAGCGAATCCTGTGAAGCTGGATGAAGCTGAAGTTCCTATTACGCTGGAAGAAGAAGCGAATCCTGTGAAGCTGGATGAAGCTGAAGTTCCTGTGACGCTGGAAGACCAAGCGTATCCTGTGAAGCTGGATTAAGCTGAAGTTCCTGTGACGCTGGAAGAAGAAGCGAATCCTGTGAAGCTGGATGAAGCTGAAGTTCCTGTGACGCTGGAAGAAGAAGCGAATTCTGTTAAGCTGGATGAAGCTGAAGTTCCTGTGACGCTGGAAGACGAAGCGTATCCTGTGAAGCTGGATGAAGCTGTAAGTCCTTTAGTGGGAAGGGGGTTGCTTGAGTGTGATCCTTTGTTGTTAAAGGATCACTTCGGGGTCACCAATGTTTATGCCTAACCGAAGTAGACACTTCCGGGTCACACCGCGGGACAAGGGGGTAATGGGCACTTGTCGCTGGCACGGGGACGCTTTGCTGGCAGGACGATCGCGTCGCGGCAATGGTAACGATGGTTACTGCGATGCCGGACCACAGGCGATGCGGAACTGCGCTGAGGTAGAGCTAACGTGGTTAGCTGCTAGTTGGGATAGCGTAATACGAGCCCTATTCCCAGAGGTAGGAAGTAGAACCGCGGAGTTAAGAGGTGTGTTGATAACTGATTTATTCTTCATTTGATACCTGCTTATATACTACTTGGAACACGGAAGATTAGTGTAATGATTAGTGAAATAAGCTATAATCTAAAGTAGGTCAGGGAATTATGATTATGGTGCAGTTGGCTCCGCTAAAACTGCAACATG